AGTCTGTTCTATGAGATCTTCTACCTTATGCCAGATGGTATCCTTCTGTTCCTAAATATTTTCTCGTATGTGTGCAGTATTAAAAGCAAGACCCCTTTTCAATCACTATAGGGACTAATATTGTTTTTGGCCAGTATAACAGGTAGCCACATGATATAGTGTGACTAATATACAGAAACTCACAGAGACTGAAATTTTACTTGCTGTTAGGACAGGTGATTAAGGTTAATATGTGACCTTTACTATAGGTTTCACTAGCATAATAATAATCTTACTATTATATAGCTCTTTTCATCTGAAGGCTCCTTGAATGCAATGCAAACTTAACATTGATATGAAAAACTGTACAGTGATCTCTTATATCCTGTCTGCAGTAAAATACAGCAGCTGTTCAATAGCACATAACATCCCCAAACTTTTTAGAACGTTCAGTGATGAATGCTTAAAAAACTAGGACCAGATTTGCTAAACTGGGGTGCATTAAAGAAGCTGCTGAAATTCCAATTTAGGCAGATAAATCCTATATGCTGCCTGTCTTGAAGAGGTTCTTAGTAGTATGCCTCTCTCCCTGCCACCTATAAGAGCTGTAGGATGTTTACTTTGTCAGAAAAACAAGGCTTCCACGGCTAACTTTCGGTCAGTGATCTCCAACCTTTTTAACCACAGGATCACTTTTTCAATTTCAGAGTAATGTAAGATCTACCTCAACCCAAATATCCCTGCTCCACCTCTTCTCCGAGGCCTCACTCTGCTCCCTTCATCCCCCATCCTCATTCGCTTTCACCAGGCTGGGGTAGCGGGTTGGGGTGCAAGCTCTGGTCTTGGGCTAAAGGAGTTTGGAGTGTGGGAGGGGCTTCGGGCTTAGCCCAGAGTGGGGGATTGGGATCCGGGGGGGATTCAAGGTGCTAGCTCTGGGAGTTTGGGTGCAGGGGAACTCACATCTGGGAAAGGAGTATTTATGTGAGGTGAGAATATTCTCATTCTTGGAGAATATTCTCCAAAAGATTATTTCCTGAGAATTTTTGAGAATTTTCTAATTTTTCATTTCCTCTTGAAATAATATGTTGTATTCAACTTTTAGAACACCCTGAATGTTAAAGAGCTTTCTTGATCATTCAAGATAATTTGAGAACATTATAGAATGTTCCAGAATGTTATGGAACTTTCTAGAACATTCATGAGTCAGGAATTCTGACTGTTATGGAACTTTCTGGAAGCATCACAAAAAGTATATAAAGAGGCAATAGCACATTTATTCTCTTTTGTGAAAGGTGTAATTGTGTTTTCATCAGTATGAAAAGAAGAACTAAGCCTAAAAGTGATGGGTGGGATTATTTCCTTCATAAAACAGTTAAAGGCAAGGTGTTATATGAATGTAAGTACTGCAAAGCTGAATGCATTAGAAATGCGACAAGGATGAGAAAGCATATTTCCAATTGTTTGAAGAATATGGCTTACATCAAGGAAAAGGCAACAAAATTCTCAGAGTCCAGAAGCAGATCACCTTAACCATCAATTGCATCAGCATCTATAGAACACTGTGATAGTGCTTGTGAATTTACATCACCACCTTCCACATCTAGTTCAGCCAACGTGTCTCACTATATAAGTCACTACTTGAATTCTATAAATGAAACTGAAAACAAAGTTTTGGATAATTTTTTTGCATGAGCTATATTCTCATCGGGATCGCCTCTTTCACTGGTTGAAAATGAAGATTGGATTACTTTCATGCAAAAATTAAGACCATCTTACAAGATGCCATCCAGGTACACACTTTCTAACAAACTTTTAGAAGCTGAATATCAATGTGTTGATGCTCTTATAAAAACAAAAATTGCTGAAGCCTCTTCTCTTGCACTGAGGTGTAATGCTTGGAGCAACCGAAGAAATGAATCTGATATAAATTTTATTATATCAACACCCCAACCAGTGTTTTACAAGACCGTGGCAACTGATGTTGAACGCCATACTGCTAAGTACATGGCATTCCGTATGGAAGAAATAAGGACAGAAATAGGCACTGAAAAATTTGGTGCCATTGTCACTGATAATGCTGCAGCAACGGTGGAATCTTTATCAATGCTTAATGAAAAATACAATCACATTGCTATGTACACTTGTGCTGCTCATAAACTAAATTTGTTAATTGATGACATCAGTAACTTAAAATCTGTTCAAGAAACTGAAGCTACCTGTAAAACTATTGTGAAGGAAATTAACAAATCGCAAGTTTTACGAGCTCATTTTACTGCATTTCAAAAAGAGAAAAATCAAACGTGTACACTTAAATTGCCAGTTAAAACTAGGTGGGGTTCCATTATATATTGTTTGAAAACCTTATTGAAATAAAAAAATGTCTTAAAATGCCTTGCTGTCCATGAAGATTTACAGACTAAACTGAGAAAACATACCAGGAATTCAATCCTGGATGAAGATGTATTCTGGGTACGGGTCCAAAGACTGCATGCACTGATCATTCCTGTTGTTAAATGGATTACACTACTTGAATCTGACCAGCCAAAAATGAGCAAAGTTCCTGAATGTTTCAGGGAATTAAGCGATCATTTTGATAGGCTACTTCCCGAAAGTCCACTTACCAAACAAGAAAAACAGGATGTGATGAAAAGTTTTGAAAAAAGAAAAGATATGGCTCTAAAAGACATTCACTATGCTGCAAATATTCTAGATCCAAAATTCAATGATGAGTGCCTTACTAGAAATGAACATATACAAGGAACTGAATTCATCGATAAATTAGTCACAAGAATGTATGGCACTAATCACTCAGCAAAAGTCATTGCAGAGCTTGCAGAGTATCATGATAAAGAAGGTTTTTTTGGAAAATCATATGTAACAAAATCAGCAGGCTCAGTAGATCCAGTAACATGGTGGAAAGGTATTAGCTATGATCAAAATTAGGGAAAGCAGCGATCAACATATTGAGTATGCCACCAACAGCAGCAGCAACTGAAAGAAGTTTCAGTACTTACAGTATCATTCATAATGCAAAAAGAAACAAGTTAACACAAGAAAGGGCAGGCAAGACCATAATATAAAGCTTCTTAAAAACCCAAATGGTGCTCCATTGAAATCCCCAAGAGAAAAATGAAACAGAACCAGAGAAATGAGGAAGAAGAAATTGATGATGCTGAAGAGAGAGAAGAAGTCAAAGAAGAGGATATGTATGAGGAAGAAGAAGAGATAGAAATATATGTCAGATTCAGAAAGTGCAGATTCTGATTAGACTTGTATTCAGTCCAGAAAGTTAAAAATATTTGTATCTTGCAACAGAAGGTTTGTAATAAAAGTTCTAGTAATTTAAACCTCTGTCTTTTTTTCTTTACTTTCCTGAATTTTCATTTTACCAATTGGAAACTTTCATGATTCTTGAAGTTTTATTAAAGAAAGATATTATTATAAATAGTAAAATTCTTTAAAAACTATTTAACAAGTATTTAAGAGAAACTTCTCAAAAATTCGCGCATTGGAGAATATTCTCAAGAACATTCTCGAGACTATTCTCCAAAAGTTTATTCCTGAGAATTTAACATCACTAGGCAGGAGATTGGGTGCAGAAGGTTCGGGGCTGGGACAGGGGTTCAGGAAGCAGGCTCTGGCTGGGCATTATTTAACTGAGATAGCTTCTGGGTGGTGGAACAGTGGGGTTAAGGCAGGCTTACTCCTGCTCTGGCCTTGTACCACTCCTGAAAGCAACTGGCATGTACAGCAATGGCTCCATGGGGCAATGTGCTGACCCTCATCTACAGCCACTGAGCCTACAGCTTCTACTGGCCATGGTTCCCTGTTATTCATCAATGAGAGCTGCAGGAGAGGTGTCTGTAGGCAAGGACAGCATGTGGAGACTCCCTGCTCTGCCCTTCTCAGGGGCTGCAAGGACATGCCAGCTACATCCAGGAGCTGCAATTACCATAGGGATAACGGCTCCAGCCATGACAGGTTAGGCATTTTAAAACAGACTACTCAAACAATTAAAAGCATAAGTGAGAAATGAAAATTAAGAAATGCACAGACCAGTCAAAAATCACACCTAACATTTTGAAAGCAGTAAAATAAATAATGCCTCTCCCCACCACTTATCTGTTGGGTCGGGAGATGAGAGGGAAGGACAGTCTGTGTTTGTGAGAATGACAGAAACACACACACTGTGTGAGAGTGACAGAGATTTGCATTGCCAAGCTCCCTCCATCCTCTTCTCTCTGTAAGGAGATGGGGTACCAAAGTGGGGGAGGAGGGACATCCTGACGTCAGTGCCTCCCTTCTCCCTCCCACACTCTTCACAGCAAGCAGGAGGCTTCCGGGGGGAAGGGGCAGTTCCAAGGCAGAGGGCAGGAGCAGCATGACAGTGGGTGGAGGGGCCACTGAAGTGCCAGCCCTTGATAGCTTCCTGGCCAAACCAGTCAGGATCACTCATCAGAGGCTCCAAGATCTACTGGTAGACCCCAATCTACTGGTTGATGACCACCACTTTAGGCATTCAAGTGTCAAATTCTGCCCGGTTACTGTGAGTGACCATGGGTAATAAAGTATCCTATTCTTTAAAAAGATAATTGATTCAATGCAACTTTGTTTAAATTGAGTGCCCATTCTTGATATATGTAAATAGCTCTTCTTGATGATAAAAATAAGTTTTTGTTCTAGACAAACAGGCTGCAGCTTTATTAAGTAACTCATCTTAAGTAATGTTAATTATCTATCCAGCAATAACTCATCCACTAGCTTGTGCTGTCTGGTGGAGGGTTGCCCTCAGCCTCCATCTCCCTCCATGTGACACTAGTATTAAGGCCGTGATTCCAATGCCCATCAGTCATACAGGTTATGGGGATTGTCACCTTTTGGTACCAGAATTTAGGAGCCCCATCCTTATTGTCTATCATCTTTAGAGACTGCCTTCACCTAAATTCACTTCCAGGGAAATTAATGTAGAGGAACTAGTCCTCTTATTGATATATTGCCTCTAATTCCAACAGGATGAATTCTACAATCTCACCTACTCTCTGATGGACCAGGCAACCTACCCCCTCCAACCCACTGTCTAGAACGAACTGGCAATGAGGGGGAAATTCCGTTCCAATCCCCCAAGGTGGAAGGGTATGATGCCCACAGTAAAGGCCCCAAAGCAGGTCTTACTCTAAGCCCACATGAGGTGAGGAAAAGGGGAATCTTCCCTGATGGCACAGAATGGCACCTCAGGTAAGAGAAAGGTTTTATAAGACTACTGTTGAATAAATGGGAACCAAATGGTTTACAAAGCACCCGTCTGAATAGCCAAGAAGCCTCCCAGAGTGCATAGAAGGATGGGAGAAATCAGTGGGTGATACAGTTCTTTAAAAGAGCCAGGTGTTTCCTTTTCCCTGCTGTCCCAGACAAAGCCTCCTCACCTGCATGAGGAGATAAGTGGAATGTACTGGCACTTCAGGAGATTATCCATTTTAAAAGTTTTGCTGCCTTTTTTCTATCTGCCTAACAATAACTAAAGGACAGAGTCTAATCTCAGAGGGGCATTGGTGTGTGTCTTGAAAAATGTGCTACTATGCAAGAGCATTTTTCAGCATCATCTTTAGTGTTCATTATGCACTGAGTCTTGCCCAATTAGCTCCATGTAAAATTTTACCAATAAAAATCCTAGATTATAATCACACCAACATTGTTAGTGACAGTTGCAAAGCAAAGGATGAGTTAGCAATATTTTATTTTACTGAGTTCATTTCTCCAAAGACAATTCTGTGCTGTTCTTGTTAGCATGTTACATTAAATAGTGAAAATGGCCAGCAATAGATGGTTGGAGTGATATAACATACTTGATAAAATATTTTATACAAAAAAACCTGTAAATATTAAATAATATTATAGCTGTTTGTGATACACAAAATATTATCCTAATTATTGAGTTAGTTGGACGTAAGAAGGAAAACAGACCTTAAGCATTAGATGCTGTGACAGCCATGTTTTGCTTCTGGTAATCTAGGATATTGCTTGATTTTTCAGACAGCGTTAAAACCAGGCATACTGTAGTTTTTAAAAAAAGGCTAATCTGCTATGAAGCATTATAACAAAGTATCTAAAAGGAGATCATGGAATAACTTCTATTGACCTATTTCTAAATTTGTGTTAGAGTTCAGATTTTTGAGAAATTTCAATTACATTCGTGTCCATAGGGGTGTGTAATATTTTGTCCGTATCACATTTTAGCAAGTATTTTATCACCCAGGAGTGCAGTTGTGATTCTTGGAGAATAATAACACACAAGCTTTATTCTCAAGCCTGGGAGACTGTTATCCTGACCTCTGTTTACTGCTATTAAACACAGAAGATTTACTTTGAAGCATTCATTTAAGGAGGTGAGTTATTATTCCTTTGCTTGACCTTAGCCCATCGTGTATATATCATGGTGTTCTATAAGACCATTGTACGCAAGAAAATTAGTTTAAAAATAAGAAAAAGAGAAAAGTGGGGAAGGCAATTATAATTCGTATTTATCAAAAGTTATGCCAATTAAGTAATCTGTTTATAATCTTATTTTTTTCTAAAAAAATACATTTTGCATAGATTTAATTGATCAATGGTACAGGTGGCTTGAAATTAACCCTAATCTTCCATTTAGAATGTTATGCTAGCTATTGCTTATATTTATTAGTAGAAAACATGATTCTTAAAAGCATAAAAAATTGTTTTCAAGCTGTTCCCTTAATGAACTGGAAATAGTAATCCTGTCAAATATAATACAGAAATAGTGATATAAGCCTATGGCATCTATTCGTTACTGGAGAACAAAAGCCTTCATCCATTTCCTTTAGAGAATGACATTTTTGTAATTCGCTGCCCATTTCATTTGTTCTAAAAGGACTTCGTAGTTTGACAAATATCCCACAGAAATGGCTTCTGATGCTTGATAGGATAATGTGCAGCCCCTTAGGACAAGGGCAAAGGCAGCAAACTTATCATCCTTTAGTTTAGCTTAGCATGGGTCAGTAACAGTGCCAGGGGTGACAGAAGATGTTAAAGTGTGGGAAGCAAGAACTAAGAGCTGTAGGAGGGTAGTTTTTATAGTTTATCCTTTCTTTTACCACGAAGCTGCAGAGACAGCTTGAATCACATTGTTGATTTGGTTCATTGCACGCCACAATAACTGCTCCAGTAGGAGGAGAAGAAAAAAAAAACACTTATGGGTCATTCTCACCAATATTGTGTGACATTTCAGCACTTATCCTAGAAGAGGAGGAAATACATGTTTAATATTTTAGCTTCAAGTTAATATTTTAAAAATGCATTATCCCACTTGGAGGTCTGGTGTGTGAGAAATCTGTGGAATATCGCCATGAGACTGATGGAGGAACAAAGGGTTCAGCATGTTTTGTTGTGTTCTGTAACTTGTTCTGAGTCACTTTCTCCAGCAAAGCGAGAAAAGAATAAGCATTGGCTCCTGTGGAGTGTTACATTTAAAAATCAACAAGCTAAACTTTAAAATCATGATGATGGCTTTCATTCATCAATAGCTGCAAACCATTTAGAAATGTCATTTTAGAAATGTGTTTAACAGAGTTAGTTCTTCCCGAGTAGTAAATTGTTTTCCCTCTGTTATAGATCTTATAAGATTGGTTCTGATCTTATTAGACACTGCGCAAAGAATTCCCTCTGAGTGCTATTGGAGTGACTGGGCATTTGAGTAGGATCAGGCCCTTGATTTTTATCTTAGTTGCAAATTGTGGTGAACTTTATAGTAATCCAATGATTCCTGCAATTCATTATTTCAATGTCAAATTGCTAAACATTTGCTCAGAATACTAGAATGCTAACTATTGCCCTTAGTTATAGTGCCTTTTAAGTAACATAGGCATTTATATATCCATGCCAAATGCATGTTATTGTTTGGATAAATGAAACCCACAATCAATCATAATTGGTTTGTATAATGATGAGGGAGTTTGTGAACCACAGGTGGCTCAGTTGGTGAACTGGACTTTGCATTTTGGTTTGCAGGAGTTAGAAGAAAACTAATCTTTTCACATTATTTTGAAGGATCAAATCTGATTAATCTGAGCCTCCCCACAAATCTGATTAATCCGAGCCTCCTTCCTTATCTCTTCTTTGCCCCTCAATCCCCCACCCCCCCGTTCCAATATCTAATTTGTTAGTTCATCATTTGTTAACTTTCTTCATTATATTCCTTTGTTATATATGGTCATTCCAATTCACTTATGATCTGAAGAAGTGGGTCTGCCCCATGAAAGCTCATCACCCTAATAAACTATCTTGTTAGTCTTTAAAGTGCTACATATTTTTTTCTTTTGTTTTACCCACACCAAGAGACACCTTTCCCCTTGACAACATGGGGAAATTGTAGTCCAATTTTCAAGTTGGCTTGAGCACTTAGGATCTTAAGTCACTTAGGTTAACAGAATTGAAAACAATTTCTTCTCATTGAACTGCCTCCATCCTGTCTCTTAACTGCACTTTTGAAAATAAGTCTTTTTTAATCACATAGGCCATTGTAAAAATTTTACTCCTTGTCTTCAGGTTGGCCCTGGGGCTTGGTTTTGTGGGAGAACATCCATTGCTCATGTACACAATTGTGACATAAAGTTAAATAATACTCTAGCCTAAATCTCATGGCTCAGAGTGATTGAATTGTGAATATTTTTCAGAGATCCAATAAAAATTTGACTGTGCAGCAAATTACATTGCATTTTGGTTTAAAAGGTTTCCCAATAAACTTTTCCATGCATATTTCCCGACACAGTGAAAGCTGTACATGCTCTTTGACCCCATACGGCCACATCCACTAGAGATTAATTACAGAAATTCTCCTCACTGCATTTGTGACTCTGCTTAAATCAGACCCATTTTACAAAGGAAACTAAACAATTTTATAGTGTTAGAACAGATCACATGAATAAATGTGTTGTAAGAGTCAGATTATACTGATATGAGAACCTATGAAGGGACTGATTCAGCACAGAAGGACTGAAAGTTTTGACATGGTTTAATGAGCTGTATGCTAACTCCATCTGAGTAATTAACAGTCTTGACAGTCCTTCTCAACACAGATATCATCTGTAAGAATGTTTAATTCTATGAGTATCAACAGTTTTTGCATTCAAGGTAGATACAGATCTGGATAGGTGGTGGGTGGTTTTTGTTTGTTTAGTTTTGTTTTTGTTTGTTTTGGTTTTTTTTGTTAAGTAGTAGTAGTAACTATATTTGTGTATCATTGGTCACTAAGGGCCACATTTTCAGATGTGGGCACTAATTTTTTACTGTGCTTGTTTTTTAGTGAATACCCAAATTAAGACACCTTGTCACTCTCTTCTAGTGGTGTGAAGGAGTGGCAGCTTACATTTGGTTCAGCTTCCCTGAAAACAGGTGCAAGGCATCCTGATGCAGGCATTCACAATTCATGGACATTTGTGAAAATATTAGTAATGAAAATACCAAAACATAAAATGCTCAAACATTTAGCTAGGTAAAAATTAAAAATTCTATACCAGTTGCATGATTTATTAGAAAGGATGTGTGTAAATACGTGTATTGCTGATATGAACAAAGGAACATGAGATAGATATGATAAGATAATTAAACTTCCTTTAAAAACTTTTACCCATGCTTCCTGGCAGGGCTGTTGGTCCAGTTTAGTTTGACAAGTGCATGTGGTTGGACTGTGAATTTGAAAGTCAGTATGAACACCAGATTCTCTCCTTCAGGCTTGGTAAGAGATCCTGACTGGAAACCAGAGTTTCAACCCATTTCCAGCCTCCAGCCAGAAAGTTAGAAGAGGTATGATAAGAAGAGCCACAATAGAAGCACACTTCTTCACAAGCAATGCCATTCTCTAAATGAATGCCCACACTTTCAAAACCTATAAACAGCACTGGACCTCTCCTCATGATTTGTTCCAGGTCAACTAGCACCAATGGCCTGAGTAGATTACAGAACACAGAATGTGTGTGAAGACCAAATTGTCTTTATACCTTCAGAAACTTTAACTGGAATCCAGAGTCTCAATCCACTTCCAAGGAAACTAGAAGCTATATAGAGGCAGCCACTCTCACCAGGTGTTGCCATGCTCATGACCAGTGGCCAGGCATCCCACTGGGCCATCCTTCCCAATCCCACTGGAAACTGCCCAAGTTGCAACCTTTGTAATTTATACCCCACAAAGCTAGACCCTCCCGGATGCTCTATGAACAGAGAAAAAGCCCACACAGGAGCTTACCAATTTTGCTATGTGGGAAAAATCCCTTCAAGCCCCCAGAGCTGGCAATCTAGACCCAGGGATCAACAGAGACACAACAACTAGATGATTGTGGAAAGGGGGGGCTGACATAGGGAGCCCCTAGAATACTCCCCTTGGTAGACAACTGTATTATCTTACCTCATGCCCTCCAGCCCCAAACCCATCTGTCTTTCGCAGCAGCACTGGGCTGGACAGATCCCAGAGTTGTGGCCCTTAACACTGTGTGAAATAAGTGGGGAGAGTGAAATGAGCAGGACTATTGGCTCCAGACTGAAAACAAAGGGAGGAGAAAATGGGAAAGGAAAAGAGGGCAAGGAGAATGTTGAACTCTAGCTTAACTGCTTCCACTTGAGATCATTTTCTTCCTGTCCCCCACCCCAGGAAGTGCCCCCACTCTGTGTGTGCCCTGGCATGCAAAGTGAGCATTTCCCTGAGATGCCAGGGAAGAGGTAAGGCCTGGAGGATTTCTACCACACTCAAATATATGTGCTGTTAAGTGGGACCTGTGGAAGGCTTATTATGCCCAGGACAGAACCTACTTCTCCTCCAAGCAGCTAGTAAATATGCCTCGCTTCAGGATTGATCTCTGAAAGCTCTGAAGCAAAATACCTAGTCACCAGTTTCAATATCAACAGGTGGTGGGGGTGGAATATGAGTGGAGATAAAATTTCTGTGAATTGGCACTCTCCCTCTCTGGCTTCCTTAAGGAGTTTTAAGTTCAGCTCATTTTCAAATTCCACCCATGACTATTACTTCATAACAGTAGCCTGTTGAGCATTTATTACCTTATACAGCTGTGTAAAGTACCACATTCCTTTGTGGTACTAAGTAAGGGTATGTCTAGACTACATGGCTCCGTCGACGGAGCTATGTAGCTGAGTTTACTAGACATAGGAAAATGAAGCAGTGATTTAAATAATCACCGCTTCATTTACATCAAAATGGCCACTGCGCTATGCCGATCAGCTGTTTGGCGGCACAGAGCGGTAGTCTGGATGCTCTGTGGTTGACAAGGGAAGCCTTTGTCGACCGCTCTAGTAAACCTCATTTCATGAGGCATAACGGAGCGGTTGACAAGGGCTTCCTTTGTCAACCGCAGTGCATCCAGACTACCATGCTGTACCACCAAACAGCTGATCGGCACAGCGTGGTGGCCGTTTTGATGTCAATTAAGTGGCGATTATTTAAATCGCCACTTCATTTTCCTATGTCTAGTAAACTCATCTACATGGCTCCATCAACAGAGCCATGTAGTCCAGACATACCCTAAGTGTGTAGTGATTATCTGGGAGGAGGTGGAAGAAACAGAATCTCATATTTTTTCCTTTTAATACAGTAGGCACATTTGACGCCATGTGTTAACTGGCAGGCCCCTGAGAGCAGCAAATTTGGCTGGAGCAGCAGTTTGAACCATTCACAGTCCTTTCTGCATGAAGGATGAGGGGGCAAGTGCAGCCTCCTTCAATACCAAAAGTGAGCTGGGCTCCCCTGGAGGGAGAGTAGAACCAAGCCAGATTGGAAATTCATTAGTTCAGTGATTTACTGGGCAGCCTTCTCTAGATTAGCTCCACAGAAGTCCAATCTAGAATTTAAAGCTACCTCCCCAAGCAGAAACACTTAGGAGGTTGACAACATTGCTATCTTCTACCAGGCTGAATCTTTCCTTGTGATACAGATTCCCTTTGGATATTACAATGTGTCTCTGGGTGTGAACGTGACCCACTATCTTATTTAAAACACTTGGCTTTCCGGTACTTTAATATTAAAGTGTTCCTCATGGTATCACTACACACTGGAATTCATCTTTTTCTAAGAGTGCATTTGTTCTATGAAAGAAACAGTCCTTTTATTTTTAAGTTAAAATTCCCAGATGATTGTATTCATATATCATGCAAATTTTTACATGTTGATGGACATAACTTTTCTACTTAACAGATCGTATTCCTGGCTATGCTTGTCACCGGTTTAAGCAATCCATGTGTAATTGATTTATCCAGTAAAAAAGATAACATTTGCTTTAAGCTCTTCTGATAGCTTTACAGCCTTTACATTAGCAGAAATACTTCCGTCTCCACTGTCATTCTTGTAAAATATAATTACGATGTATCCATCACAGATTAAAAAAAAACCCAGAGATAGTGGGAGACAATGCTAATTTTCCCCTGAGTTCAGCACTGCATGAGTGTCACATTATCCAGCTCTGACTATATGGGCCCACCAAACAGTGCTCCCATCTCTGGACTCGGGTTATCCATAGCCCACATTTTCTAGTAGGACTTGAGGTTTTTCTGATTCAGAAGTAAACACAGTAATGTTCTTGCAGGTGAATAAAATTGCAAACTTCTCTTTCATTGCATCAGATAGCGCTATAAAATAAAAAAATAATCATTTAAACTTTTTTCAGGATCTGAGGTTGAAAAATACAAGAACAGCTGAAGGAAAAATCAGCTTTTGCCTGGAAAGGATATTCAAACACAAAATAAGGCTGATGGGTGTGGTAATTTAAGGGTGCCAAATATACAGGACCTCAGAAGACATTGGGTGGCCTCTATTTCCCTGTCTGTGCTCTGTAGTGTAATCAGTAGACCTGCGTGTGTTCATGTCCTTTAGTACCAACTGCTCACAAGCAGGAAGGAAAGCCGAAATGGTGGAATTCTAATGGGTTTTGATTGTTATGTCTTAGTGATTATTACTTTAAGATCCATAAAAAGACTTTCCTCATTTAACATTTACACACAAATAAAATGTTCACTTTCCAAGGTGACACAGAAGTCTGTTAGGCTTTTTAGTTCCAACATATGTGAGGCTTTAATTGGCAACCCACAAACTGTACATCAGCTAAGTAGCACTCAGAAGTGTGACATTAAAGGAGTCAAGGAAACTCTCCCTTTCTAGCTGAGCATAACAAGCCTAACGTGAATTTGCCTAACTGAGAGAAACCCTCCTCAGCAACAGTATAACAGGCCACTTGCCTCTTGAGCACCCACTCCTGGGTAGTGGTCACTGTGCAGCTTTCTGCCTCTGTTCCTCCTCTTACTACTGTCAAAGGTAATTCGATCACTCTCTTTGTAAGAGTCCAATTTGCTTATCCTGTGGGTAGGATACATACACACACTGGCCTTCCAGGCCCTATCTCCAGTTCAGCAAATCTCTCCCTTTGCAAATTTAATATAATCAAATTAGGAGTGAATGAGGATTTAGACTGGTAATCTCACTATAAAGGCAATTTTCCCTCTCTTGTTATTCACACCTCCGCATCAACTGCTGTGAGTGAGTCACATCCATCCTGACTAAATTGGCCTCATTAACACCGGTTCTGCACTTGATAAGTAACTTCCTTTTTTTGTTGTACTAGTACATATAATATATAAAATATCCCTGCCTCTGTAACTTTCACTGCAATTTAACTGATGAAGTGGGTTTTACCCACAAAAATTTATGTACTTAAATTGCAACAAGGGAGGTTTAGGTTGGACATTAGGAAAAACTTCCTAAATGTCAGGGTGGTTAAACACTGGAACAAATTGCATAGGGAGGTTGTAGAATCTCCATCTCTGGAGATATGTAAGAGAGGTTGGTTAGACATCTATCAGGGATGATCTAGACTGTACTGGGTCTAGGGCAGGGCACTGGACTTGATGATCTCTCAAGATCCCTTCAAGTTCTAGAATTCTATGATTCTATGATTCTAGGTTTATGACCTAATACATCCGTTAGTCTCTAAGGTGATACAGAACTGCTCGTTGTTCTCCCTTCTTAGGTAAGGGGTGTCCAGTCTTCCTTCCCAGAGCTGAGTCCTAGTTCACTGTCACTCCCAGGCTTTACTGAGCCAGTGTTCAGGATCTTTTCTGAGCTTTCCCCTCATATTTTCCTGCTGTCTTTCATAGGCAAATCAGCTCCCCACCATCAGGCTCTATCTAGGTGATAATAGGGCATGGGTGGATCAGAACAGTTCCTTCATAATCAGGCTTGGCTGGTTCCAGTCCTCCAGCACCTTGCAGGATCAAGCGCTAAGTGAACACCTCAGGGGCAATCACTTGAAACAAAATTCCATTGTGTTCCAGATTACCAACACTTCTGTTGTTTTTTTCCACTTAATTCTATGTGATTGGATTCTGGTTTTACTTGCTTGGTAGGTATGTGTGCAGAGTGGGGATGGTGGCAGGCAAGAAGTCTGTTGTGGTATTCCAATCATGTGCCAAGAATAATTGTTTGCTGCTTAAGAGAAATCCAATTCCAGATAAAACACCTTTTTGGTCCCCTTCTGTCATTTTATTTTATTTTATATATTTTAATTTGAGCTTTCCATTTTTGTGTGTGATTTGGACTAGAGGAAACTGCATATTGTAAAGGAAAGTGAATATTTCTCAAATCCAAAATGTTGAGGGACAGAGAGAAAATACAAGCAAGCTGAATACATTGATTATGCAGAATGCAAAAGTACTGAATGGTTAGGATTGGTGTGGCAGAATTGTGGTCCATAAAATTTAGATCTCACCCTAGATGTGTCTCATATCCGTGTCTGTTTGAGATGGATTATAAGGCAAAAAAACCCACATTTCATTTTCTTAGCATAAATGTTTCTAATAAAAAATACTTGACAAAGTTAGTAGGTTGGAGTAAGAAAGGCACTGGTAGTTTGGATTTGGATTTTTGTTTGTTTTAATATTTTTGACAAAACTGTAGATACATTGGTTGCTTGTTGGAACATTAATATGTATCATTTGATATTTATTTTAAATCTAAGCCTTTGCTTTTCTTCAATTGAAAGGGTATCAACTTGATACATTTTAACTGCCAAAAAAACTTCTAAGGCAAAACAATTCTGTCTGATTGTTTAAAATACATAAATGTAGATTTGATTTTAATTTACAATCATTCTAAATAAATAACACTGGATTTCTATAGTTCTTTTCTATAGTTGTTTGCAAAAAATTAAAACTCATAATGCTATTGGGGAAATTGTATTACTGTATTTTTGCTACCATTGTGCTACTTCTGCTCACCATTTTGAACTCTCTGTGGGCCTCAAGAAGACAGAGGCTACATTCCAGTCTGTCTAGAAAGTGTCCAGTACTCCAATGATCACTGCTGCTAATACTGTCCCCAAGACTATTGATAAGTTTCACTACCTTGGAAGCATACTGTCCTCCAGCGTAAACACTGATGTCGATGTATGTACTCAACTAACTAAAGCCAATGTTGACTTTGGAAGATTAACACCATGGTCATTCCACAAGCACTTGGTCAAACTTCATATGAAGGGAATAGTTTATTAGGCAGTTGTCCTGAATATCCTACTGTATGGTTTAGGATCATGGACCATATATCACTGTCATATTTTGAAATTTGATCAATTCCATATGCGCTGCCTCATGACAAAATTCCTAATGTGGATGTCCTTAAACTGTGCGGTGTCATTGGCTTGGAAGCGAAGTTTATGAACAAAAAGTTTTGCTGGATTGGTCATATTATGAGGATGGATGACACATGGATACTGAAGATGGTCTTCTATGGCCAGCTTGTTCATAGAAAGCCCTCTGTTGGTGGTCAGTATAAGCAGATTGTTCAGAGAGAGAATACGGACTGATGGCAGAATAAACTCTCAATGATCTGGTCTGGCAACATCAATGCTGATGGAACTGATGGTAGACATGATTTAAGCCTCCTTTCTTGAGACATTGACTCACTCAGTCTGGAGGAAGTGAACCCTGATCTGAATCCAAAACCATGCCCTTAAGTGAGATTAGACCATAAGAGAAGCCAGGACTTGTGGGGGGAAAGCCCACCCTAAATGCTTAGGCTACACTGATTCATGGTGAGGCCAGCAAAGAGGCGGACTCGGAGCTTCGAACACATATTAAGATGGTGAGGAAGAATAGGTGAACAGACTTCTTGCAAGTCAACATGGGATTTCTTAAATTTATCAACATAATCACTTTTAATTTCTGATACTCTCATTTGTGTTCCCCTTCCTATCTATTAAGACTCTTTTGTCCCAAACCAAGAAGGCCTGTGAGTTGGGAAGAACCATGTAACAATATGACCAGAAAAAGTTATATATTTTTTATTAATTTTGCAGAACAGGAATACCAATGAGACACTTGATGGGCATATGAGTCATTATTCTGAACCTGGTCTTGTTTTACTAATGCTACTGGATGGAAAGGTTATAAATAAAAAGGCAAGGCCACTGTGTAAATGCAAATATATTGTGTTAAGGGATTGTGTTAAAACAAAATAGTCCCTAACCACATTAAAATAGACATTTTTTGCTTAACTAAGTAGTCTAGACTATCAAAACTGAGAATTGTTGGTATTTAACTTTTTTTTGCTACAATTTAGAACAAAAAAAAATATTTTCAAAATTTTCCTATAAAATGAAAAATCAGAAAAAAAGTTTTAAAAATTTAATGTTGGAAAAAATTCACTTTGAAATTGAATTTTCATGTCCAACTTATTTTGTTTTATATTTTTGAAATGCAAGAATAATTTCAGTTGTTGCAGTGCATAATCTGATATATCATAGCACGGCATATTATACACTAGTGCTACTGATATATCATATGACACAATATAATTGAAATATTCTGGTATTTTGTTTCATTTTATTTTTAAAACCATTAAGAGCAACTAATTCTTAGCTCAGACTAAAACTTCTCATCTTATTTTCTAGATCAAATTGTCCCTGTTTGTGTGGTAATGAAACAATTTCATACTTCGAACAAGAAAAGAAGATATGCTCTCAGTAAAGCTCCTCACTAATCAGAGAAGTAGCTATTTTCAGTATCCTAGAAAAATTATTGTAGCCTAAAACTAGGATGGATATTCAACAGCATTAGGTACTGCCACAGGTGCTAACCAGAGCAATTTAGGTAAAATAGTCTAGAACTACCTATACACTTTGATGCTGCATTCTGCTATTTTGTTTGTAATGTACTTTAAAAAAACACACACATGGAGGCTGCTATTGCTGCTCTGAATATTGCCTGCCATGTTAAAAATACTTAACACTCAAGATTTCCAAATATTTGCACTCTTTTATTCCATTCTCTCATTCTTTGAACTGCTGCTGTAGCAAATTTCCTCCATTGCTAACACCAGAAATGACAGGCTAAGAAGGCCTCTACATTGCTTTTACTTCTGCCTAACATTAATGTTGTTTCATCAGAAACTAATTTTAGCAATCACCCTAAATCTTATTTTCTGAAAAAAATCACATGAACAAAACTTCACCCACAACAATGTACATAGAAAAAAGGATGACTTAAAAGGACAGAGTGAATCAATGTGAGCTTTAGAACTATCTGAATGTTTGCAAATTTCCTGCAAGCTCTAATATTGAAGCATTTCAACTTCTTTGCTGATGGAGGTTAGATACCATATTTTGGATGCTATGGATTGGAAGACCTCCTATCCTCTTGTGGTCACTAAAGATAACATGGAACTGTTTGTCAGGCCTTGTCTCCATTTTCTGGAGGATTGACAGTCTGGTGATTGATCTTCTAGGGTTTGATTTAAGGGGTCTAATAAAGACCTCCTAAATCAAATGCTTAGGGTGCCTTCATCGACCACAGTACTTGTTGACTCCAGCTACACAATTCACATATCTGGAGTTGCATCCATTTTCTCCACCAGTGTAGACCTGCCTTCAGAGTAGAAATATTTAACTCTTGAGTCTCAGCAAGCTTCCAACTTAGTCAACAAGTAAATACTCATTTAATTTTCAATTTGTTTTATAGTTTACTTTCTGCCCTAAAATGCTATGTGATGCTGTTGCTGTGCTCCATATGTATGTCACTTTTGGGGGGAAAGGCACTGAAAAGCAAGCGATGTCTTTTGGGACCACTTTCCCTTATCCCTGCTGTTCCTTTACACTGGATTCTGACAGTGTGAAAGGGAACAAAGTGCCATGTGCCCTTCACTTATTTCTAAGAGTCACAGGAGTATTGAGCTAAGTGCATCTGACAGAGATACAGCCAAACTATGTTTAAATTAGTATTGAAAGCCTTATAGCCAAGATTTAAATGGAAGCTTCTAGAATGTCTTCCCTTACTTGTTAATGTAATTATGGCTAGCTTTTGCATAGTTTTATAGATGGAAAAGAACCTGGATAAGCACAGCAGTTCTTGACAGATCTGCTCTGTGGGTACTCAGAATCTCAGAGTTTATTACTAACAAAAATAAGTATATTATGCTTCGCTCCTGTTGACACAATAGTGCCAATAAAGCTATGGGAGAATGAGCTTGATTTGGAGGTGGAAGGATGTACATCTGAAGTATACTTTTTTTAAGTTCCATTTTTACATTCTTTATTACTAAAAGGGGTACATGAACCAGAAAGAACACACCTTGACTTTAAAATCTCAGAGTTGGCAATATTTTTATTTTAATTAATAAATTAAGCAAATTCAGTCAGGAATTAGAGAGTGTACAGTCATACACTAAACCTCTTAAAAGGTGCAAAGAGAAGTATGTGCATAAAAATGATGAGTGTCAAACTTGTGTTGTGGATTATGGTACCCTAGTACACCCTAACCTAAGGTCCCATTAATAATGAGAATAAAGCTGTGGATATGAAATGAAATCTGGTATTAATCTGTGGTATCATAGAAAGATTTTTTTAATCGTGTTTGAAACTTTGTTCTGTTGATATTATTATAGCTTGTTGACAGGACCTTAGATTAATCAATGTACATCCTATTCCAGTTCCACTTTTATAACAAATAACGGGTATTCACATCATTTGCTAACACTTTCTAAATGACTCAAACAAGTCATGAATAAGGAAAGACATTCTGTAAGCTTGTATTTACAGAATTCTCACTGCAAAGGAAACACCTTTTCTAAAATCCATATATTTAGCAAGGCTGTCTCTATTTGCCTTCGGCTCTTTGAGACGTGGCAACAAATAGAAAGGGGAAATGAAATTGTTTTAAATAGCCCACAATGAAGCAAGAACACTAGATACATTAAAAATAAAACCTACAAGAACTCTTTGTGTGTAGCTATATTATTTTCAATTTTGATTCAGGTTTGGGCATTTTTGTACTGATATTATCAATATGACTGGGGGCCAAATGTCTTGGTTGCTAAACCTGATTTGGACACTAGACGTTCTATCACACTGTTCAGTGAGTGCATTGCTAGGATTTTTGAGATGGGCCTTCTGAATCTACTCTGACACTATGGGCCTCTCTCTGTATATTCAATCACTTCTCAGGGCATATCTACATAGCAGGGCTAAAGCCGAAATAAGCTATGCAACTTCAGCTATGTCAATAATGTAGCTTAGTTGAAATAGCTTGTTTCAGCTTTTGGCGCAGTCTTCACAGCAGGAAGTCTGAGTTAGAGCACTTTTCCTCTGACTTCCTTTACTCCTCATAAAATGAGGGTTACAGAAGTCAGAGTAAGAAGTCCTCCAGCTCAACATTATTTCGACATTGACAAAATAACTTATTGCTGTGTAGACGCGGACTATGTTATTTTGGAATAACATCAGTTATTCCAAAATAATGCTGCTGTGTAGACATAGCCTTAGAGACTGATGCTCAAGTCCTGTTCATCCAGAGGCCTGATCAATAGCTGGTGAACAATGTTCTTAGTATGGGAGATAAAAGTGCATCATCTTTGGCTATTGGTTCATTTCTCTCTCCATCTAGGAAACACATTTGAGAGTATGTGAAGTCCCAGCAGAGGCCTATGTTGTCTGTTTTTTTTCATCTCTGTTTCCATTTGGGGACTGGTTTTTCTTGTACAGGTAGAGGGATTCCTGAAAATCTTCTCAACCTTTTTATCAAGGATTTCTTGCATCACAAAGTGCTGAGGAAAAGTAATCTTCTCTCAAATGGGAACAACAGAGAAAATTGTGCAGCAGTATCATGGGGAAGAGTGTTAATTCTCATTATTCTTAATTTTCAAGAGAAAAGTGTTTTCTACACTTTTTAAATATTATAGTAAATTTAGTACACTCACTTCTGTTTAATACACACCAAGCTGGTGTATATATTTTTGTTTGTTAGTCTCCAAGGTGCCATGGGGCTACTCATTAATGTAGAGAAGTTCAAACTTGAAATGAGGAATGAAATTAAATTTAAAACATATTTGACTGTGCCATCAGTTTCTGTGATGGCTACCGTAGTTTCCGGCGTATAAGACGACTTTTTATACTAAAAAACATCCCCCAAAAATCGGGCTGCAGACCAGGGAGACGCGGAGCAGCCTTTCTCGCCCCGGAGTACACGGGCGGCGGGACCGCGAGGTCCCGCAGTCTGTGTCCTCCGGGCAAAGCCGGGAGGCGGAGGGGTCCCGCGCCTCTGAGGCTTTGCCAGAGCCGCTGCAGCTTTGCTCCCCGTGTCCCTGGTCTGCTGGGGGGGCGCAGCTAGTGCGCCCCCCCTCCCCCAGCAGACCAGGCTTTTGTTGTGGACCCTGGGACAGAGCAGCTGGAGCGCTGCCGGTTGGCCTCTTAAGGGGGGGGTAGTCTTATACGGCGAGTATAGGTGAAAACCTATGTTTCAACTAGAAAATTAAGGGGTTGTCTTATACGCCCAGTCGCCTTATGCACCGGAAAATATGGTAGTAATTTCTTTATAACACACCTCCAGTTTTTCACTTAAAAAGACAACTTGTGTTGTACCTGCTATTTTCTTGATAAATGAAAACAGGTTTTTTGCTGTTGAACTGATAATAGGCTGTTATTATACTAATATGAAGATATCTTCACCAAATCTATCAAGAATTAGGAATGTAAGTGCAATACAAGTCATTTTATTGGCACATTTCCCAGGAAACTGATTTATCCTTGCAATAACGAATACCAACAAGTACTTAATTGAGCAATATTTATGAAATGTCATCATCTTAATAGGAACAATTTCAGCCAGTGCCAAGTGGTTAAGTGGTTTTTGGTATGAAATTCTGAGCTAGAATTCTTAACCAGGTGCTAAATGCAGCTAGCTAACAGTCCAAGCTTTGGTGTTTTGATATGGAAACTGGCATAAGGTGTGAGAGAAGTAGATGCAGTGAGTATAACTTTTAAGTCTAATTTTGCACATGCAGCTGCTCTGTTGAAAATGGTGAATACAGGTATACGGAAGACAAAATATGCCCTGTGTGCTTATTTGATACAATATTTCATTAAAAATCATTTTAGTCTCTTTCTTAGTAGTACATGAGGCAGAGAAGTGGTGGATTCTACTGATTGGAGATGTGCTTTAGCCAATGCAAGTGACTGTGCTGAAGAAAGGGACAACTGGCTGAAATGTTGAGGATTGTGTTATATAGGAGGTCAGACAAGATGATCTAATGGTCCCTTCTTGCCTTAAAATCTATTAATCTATTCCTAAATGAGAACATCACCTAGCACAGTAGGCTGTCCGTTTAAGTACTTCATTAAGAGGATTCTATGATTAATTTAAATGGATGAAGGAAACCTAAATTAACTTGTGCTAATTCACTTAAGCTCAGTGAAACAAGAAGTTTACCCCCATGCCTAGTACTTATCCATTTCAGTATAGGTAGTGTGATCATGTGACAAAAATACTCTTTATTATGATGAAATTTATTCTAGTACAGAGGACTTTCTGAAGGCATTATTTGACAACACCATTTAAAGCCTTAATCTATAGGGGTATGTCCACACTACAGCATTATTTCGAAATATCTTATTTCGAAAAAAACGCATCTTATTTCGAAATAACGCAGCTTTTTGCTATTTCGAAATAGCACGTCCACACTGATTGGATGCTGAATCGCATGTAAGGCCAGTCAGAACTGGTTCTAGCAGGGCATTAGGTCAGAAATTACATTGTGGCCAGGGTGGCCAGCAGGGCACCCTGGGAAGGGCTGGAGGCCCCCTATTACGAAATAAGCGTCT